AGTAGTTTGAGCCAAACATACTGTACTTGGATGTTCTCCCCATGCATGTGAGGGTTCTCCAAACATACTCAAAATGTGCATGGTCATCTTCAATCACACCATTTCACTTTTCTTTCACCAGTTCCCTGCAGTTTTTGTAGCAGTCCACACTTTCCTCATTTTTTCTAATCTTCTCCTCATTTCCCATCGCCCGGCTTGCCACAGAGTTGCCTGCTGTGTCTAAAAGTAGCTAGCAGCAGCAGCCCTGATCGACACAGCTCATTGGCTAATTGGGATCACCTGCAGCCTGTTGCCACAGGGCTTTACCGTACAAACAGGAGAAGCAGTGCAAGGGAAATTAGACACTGCCGTCGGACAACATGCGTTAATTTATAAATGTTTGAAATCCGTTACCTCTGATATAGAGCATTAAAAAATTTATAGAGAAAAAGAATATATATATATAAGAATAAGAATATTCTTATATATATATATATATATATATATATATATATATATATATATATATATATATATATATATATATATATATATATATATATATATATATATATATATATGGTTATACTGCTACCACCATCTGTATTGTAGGGAAAAAATGGTAGGGGTGGCCACAGGGGTGGTCAATAATGATTGGGTAAGGGTGGCCATTGCCACCCCTGGTCCCCCATCTAGCTCCACCCCTGCTGGCAGGACAACAACTAAATTTATTGAGCCCAAACAGCAATAAAAGGGTTTAATTAAAAGTTTAATATGGTTTATATGGTTAATAAGAATATAAGAAAATTTAAAATTACAACAAACAATTAAATATGTTTACATGCATAAAGTTTTAGGTGAATGCTGACTCTTCCAGCTCATTGGTCAATATCGGTACCCATTCCTATAACTCAGCACCCATGAATTAAATCGTAGCATTAAAAAGGTTGGTGACCACTGATGTAAAGGTTGTCATCGAGAACAAATGGTGTTATATGTGTAGTTTTATTTAATAATAATATATTTAATAATAAAATAAATTTAATAATAAAATAATAATAAATAAACCAGTATACATTCTAGATCAGGGGCATACACAGACACTTTTGGTGGAAGTAACTTAATCTGGAACAGATAGAGGATGAATTCTCACCAGAACCAAGAAGTGTCACAAGAAATCAAAACAATTTTGTGAGGATTTAATAACAGAAAGGATCTTCTTTTTTTTTTTACATATCTACAAATGGGTAAAATGTTTAGTTTTGGCAAGAGGGCCCTTCTCATCAGGTGATAAAGGCAGGCTCTTGTGCATCACTAGAATTTTATGTATGCATTTCCCTGCTCTGGATTGTAGCGCACTGGACTGTGACAGTTGTGTCATACTAAGAGTTATCTTCTTTTTTTTTTTATTACTGCCATAATTCATCTCCATTCATTACAAACATTCACCATTTGTCCAATAGAAAAATGAAAAGTTGTTGTAAGTCATATTATAAGGATATATATCTGCTTTCTATGTAGCTACTGTAATAAAAATAGGAGATTCACTTAGGAGACATTCATCATCTGCAACGGAATAAAAACCAGGCGCCCCAAAACACAATGATGCCATATGTAGGCGGCTGATGTAACCCAAGCTGAGGGGCTGTCAGCAGTTAGGGATGAACTTATGCTGGGGGAGACAGAGTAAGGACTGAGGCAGCCAGACACATTGTGAGAAGCTTGAAGAAGCAGGCTGTAAAAGGAAGAATATAACCCAGGAATGGCAGGAAGATGAATAATAATAGAAAAGAGGACAGGAGAAGAGATGGAAAAATGACCAAGTTGGAGGGCGAACCAGACGGGAACTACTCTGCCAAGCTGCCCCTCACAGCATGAGGTTCAGACCTTTTTTCATCTCATCAACCCCCTCCATCTCAGTGGCCTTCTCTGTATTCGCTGTCATAAGATGCCATGTCCACAGCTGAATCAGAGAATGACTGATATTACCCCATGCCTGAAACCATCCATCCAACACTTGGTTGGTTGCTACCTCCTCTGGTCTCTGTCCATCGATATTTCCTTTTCCTATTTATGTTCTTTTTTCTGCCTCAGTTCACTATCTCAGGGTGGTGCTAGCTATCTTCGATGCCTGTTGGGTGCTATAATGATTTTTCTTGTGGAGGTTTGCTCCTGATTCACTCTCGCTGTCACCTATCTTGCCTACCAGACAGATACTACAAGGGTGCCAATATAAGTAAGATTAAACCTGTGTGAACAGGAATCACAAATGGTGTCCCGGTATCTATGTAAAGAAATATAAAAACCTAGTCTGAAAGGCATACAGTTAAAAGAGTTCTATAATAGTATATTTTGTCAAACTGAATCTTTTTGCATAGCTATTGATATAGTGTCATGTATCACAAATTCTAAGGTTATGAACTTTTTTCACGGTAATAACTGCATGTAAATGACCATGTAGACACAAAAAAACAAAACAGCTCAAGTTTGGTTAGATATGATAGTATGAATAAACTTTTGTTTAAACCCTTTTATTGCTGTTTCGGCTCAATAAATTTAGACGAACCTATGCCCTAAATTTAAGTCTTTTGCAGCCTCTTATCAGATTTTCTTACAGAATTACTCAGTTTTCCCTTTTATCCATCTTCGTATTAAATCATGCCAGTTTGTTTATTCTTACTTAAGAAAAACATGCCCACCATGCGATGCTGCCTCCTATTCACAGTAACATGAAGTTTTATTTCTGACGAACAATGTTCATGTCTCTCCCTCTCTCTCATTACCCCTTTCCTGTCAGACTACTATCGAAAAAAATTAGCCATTAGTGCCGCAAAAACTAAAAAAAATAGATATATAAATACAAAAAATTTAAAAAAGCAGAAATATAGGAAGAGGAAAAAAAACAACTCATTCATTCATTCATCCATCCATCAATCCTTCCTTCCTGATGGACAAACTCATCAGGGCCACAGGATGCCAGCAGTCTTTGAGTGAAAGCAAGGTACATCTTGGAAAGGTACCCAATCCATCACAGGGCAACCGGAACCATAAAAGATAATAAGATTTATTTTCTTAGACACTCAGTTTACCTTCAATATCTGTTTTTTTTTCTTTCTTTTCAAACAGCTCTAATTCGAAATTTCTTACACATTATTAAAAGACGTATTGAATGTTAAGTTGTGAAACTTGTTCATGTCTTGCATATTTTTTTCTAACTTTTTTTTTGTCTTTTCTAAACAGTTTAAAATAATGTTACTTCTTTAAGATGAAAATCAGAAATCAGAACCTCATTTAGCTTTCTGTTATCTGCTAAAGTCCTGCTCTCTTTCACATCTCAACATGCTGTAAAAAGTATGGCTTCCTTTCATATAACTGCTAACTTCTCCACCAGTGGTGATTTCTTTTTGAATACTAAGGAGGTTGGAACTCCCTTGTGAATTAAAATAACTGGTTAAATATGCATTTTTAAACTTCATTAATGTGCTCATTAAACTGAGTGAAATGCGAGCTAACATGAGCTAGATTTCATGAGCATGTTGGACATTAATCACCCGTTGAGCCCACTCTCAGAGATGATCTCCCCTCCACTCTGCAGCAGCAGTACACTGCCTGTTAATCTATGAGAAATCCAAGTGAGTTTTGTGCCTTTGTTCATTTAGGCAGCGAGAAATTATGACCTTGGCTGAATTACATGCTAAAATATGTCACTTCCAGTGAGGTTAAACCTCTAAGGCAGCGGTCCCCAAACTTTTTTGCACCACGGACCGCTACATGTCAGACAATATTTCCACGGCCCGGGGGGGGTGGGGAGGGGGGTGTTGGTGGCTTGGGTTGTTGCGGCGGCGGACCGTTTTTTACTTGATCGTATCTAACCAACTCCACCACCGCGCTGACCGGCCGGCCGGGGGGGTAAATACGATCAAATACAAACACCATAAAAAAAATACAACAAGCCGGTATATATATATACATATATATATATATATATATTATTATTTTTTTTTTTTTTTTTTTTTTTTTCTGTGCGGCCCGGTACTATATGACCCACGGACCGGTACCGGTGGTTGGGGACCGCTGCTCTAAGGGGTCTATAGAGCAGCGGTGGGTCGTAAAGCTGACTGCTCAATGCTGATTGGCCAACAAACTTAAGGATTTTTGACTGACAGTGGCCAGACAGGAGGTCTTCCTCGAGAGGGCTCTTGTGCCGAACTCTTGCCGTGGTTTCTGGACTTAATTATTTCAGAGCGCTTCACAACAGCTATTTTCACATGTGATGTGTTTTATGTGTTTCAGCATTTGTTAATGTAATACATGACATTTGAATGTAATTATCATCATTGTGGCTCCCCTGTTTCAAAGAGATATCTAATCAGTCTAATGGCTAACATTAAATCTAATTTTGTCATTAACAACTTTCGGACCAAAGAGTAATGCTCTTAGGCTGACCTGCTGGTGATTAACTATTGAGGCTTTTTTTTATGGAAAACATTTGTCAAAGTTAAACTTCCTGGTTATGTTCAGCATCTGATTCCTTTGAACTTGAAAAGTATTTGACACTGCAGCTGAGTAAATCAGGATACAATACCGTCTCTTGTGATATCTGTTGCATGGAAACACCCACTGAGGGACATCTATAAACTATAGCATACATACATATATGTAAATCTGCTGAGGACAGAGCAGTTTACTTTCTCAGAGAGGCAGCTGTGTTCTGATGTATTAATCATCTTGGTCCCTGGCTTGCTAATTAATGACCCATCTGTCCCCACTCATGGAGGCTTCCACTTCAGGGTCCCTCAGATGCAACCCAACACTCTCTTCCATGATGTAATCACAGCGCTAGTTCAGAAGGAACAAATGTCAACAGTCAGTCTAAACGTCTCTGTCTCATCTGCTTTTAACTTTCTCTGGAGCTTTTCTCCTCGGCTGCTTTGCATTAAGCTGGCAGATGTTTGTGCGATCAGGCTTGTCTGTGTGTGTGTTTTTGTGCACTTATGTAGGTGTATGTGTGTGTGTTGTAGGCTTATCAGGTGAGCCCGGGCAGAGTGTCAGATGCAGTAATGGAGGCTTCAAAGACAAGCGTTGCGGTGAGTTCCCCGGCTGCCTTCTTACCAGCATCCTAAAACCTGTATATCCATCCACACACCCTTCCTCTGTTATTCCCACAGAGCCTCAGAAAGGCACACAGGTAGACACTTGTCCGGATAAGACAAGGATGCAGAAAGGAAGATAAGGAAGCGGATAGGTAATTAAGTGGCTACAAAGTCAAATAGACAACAGATAGACAGAGTATCTCAGTCTGAGTGACAGGTTGAGGAGATACTGGAAACCACTAAGGATCCCTGATAGAGGGGAGATCAGATAAAGCTGGATTCAGGCAGACAACCTACAGACCAGGTGCTCATCCAGATCCCCCCCTCCTCCTTTTGCATGATTAGAGACACTTCAAACGCCGGCCGCTTGTTTGCTGCTTTGTTCTGCTGTTTTTCTTTGCAGCTGCAAATGTTGTTTTTGATGCCAAAGCCATTGAATTGCTTCATTTTGAATGGCAGCTCCTTTTTCACGGCTTCTCAATTGCTTATCTACATTTTTATCTTTTGTACCATTCTAAGTGAGTTTATTTTTCTGTTAAATCGTCTTTTGTCCCGCCTCTGTTGAGAAACCACGGTCAAGGGGCTGTAATTGAATGTTTGTTCATTAAAATTATCATTACATTTATTAGCCAAGGTTGATTATTTTCAGAGATCATAGCGTTCTTTCTGTGGCTTTGATGTTACTTATAATAAGAAGGTTAGCCAGTAAAATCCCCAACATGAATTTTTTAGTTGGTGCATTTATTTAAAATCTGATGAGAGAAAATTATCAGAAGAAAGAAAATGCTTGGTCATCATCATTTAGGTAAGCATTAACAGACATTTCCTACTATATTATAATCAGGGAATTCCTTACATATGTAACATAGATTCATGACAGAAAGAGAGTTTGGCTCAGTTTGAATTTTCTATAGATTTTATGTAGGGCTACAGTGATTATTTTGCTGATCCATTAATCTGTTCATTATTTTTTTGATGAATTGATTAATAATCGGCTAGCAAAAACTTTTCCACTTGTGCAGTTCTGGATAGAACATATTGACAAACTGGAGTTGTTGTTTTTTTATCTTAAATACAAAATATGTATATTTTTATAAAAATCTGGTTATAATTACGTCTCCAAGTGAGATGCTCTGTCAGCTAAAGGCGTGTTTTAGAGTCTCTACACTCCAGTTAACGATTAATAGATTACTAAATGAGTTGAAGATTATTTCAATAATTTATTAATTAGGATTAATCTGATTAATTCTTTCAAGCCTAATTTTAAGTTTAAAAGCAAATTTTTTATAAGCAAACAGAACCTCAAACTTGCAAAATCTAAAACATACACTATGGATTTACTGCATGAATGGTCAAAAATAACCGTCCATGCAGTCTTATATATCGTGTGGGGTTGCTATATGTATAGAATACCAACCAAAAGAAGCCTTTGAAGTAACAGTAAGGCTTTTTAAACATGTAAATATTAGTTCTGTTTTATGACCCACATCTTGTGTTCAAGTTGCAATTAAAGACAATCCTTGCAGAACTTAAAAAAACAAAAAGTAATATGCATATGCTCTTCTATTGATATCACATAACAGTCACTGATTAGGCAAAGCAGCATGACCACTAACAGTTTATATAAACAACGCTAGTTATTTCTTCATAATATTAGTTAAAGACATAGAGCACAGTGACATCAAACCTGATGACAAAAACAGGCAATAAAAGTATGCCTAACGATATGAGAGCTTTTTATTGGTCAGATTTTATCCCAAACTGGATTTCTTTCGAGTCTTCCCTCTATGTAGGTGTATTAATGTATCAAAAGTGAACCAGCGATGAGTTGCGGACGCTTAGTCTAATTTGTAAAGGTCTGGTCTTGTCCTACAGCTATGAAGGTGTTAGGATACATACTTCTACATATAAAAACAGTCAATAAATGGTTAATTATGCTAATGGGGAAGAATAGCTGCAGAAAGGTCAGGTTGCCAATGCTGACTCATGACTTTAGTAATGGCAACCCCAGCTGGCATCAGAAGCTTGTGAGTTGGTTGAGGAAGTGTTCTGCTGGTGAACTGTTTCCACTAGTGGGTGGTCCTAACCTTTTTCAGTAGGATAATGCATCTGGACCCAAACAGACAGGGTTCAGCAGTTTTTAGTGTTGGGGTATTACAACTGTTTACATTCGATTACTGCTGCAATTTATGAAATAGAAATGTTAATTTCACTGCTAAGCTGCTGCTCATTCACTCTCTGAAATTAGAGTAAAAGTTATCTAAGTCCAAGTAATTTTAAGAAGTCAGATCTGTGGAGACCTCACCTCTCAACTTGCAGCACTTACAGAGGATGCTACTAACACATTGGTTATGTATTGACGTTTAGTAGACTAATAACCTCTATTCCTTGATGGGCCAGGGATGATTTGGGAGTGAAAACAGTACTGACTAACAAATAGGTAGGTCATAATGAAATTAGGGATGCACGATATTGGGATTTTGGCCGATATCCGATATGCCGATATTTTAAACCTCATGTAGCCGATAACCGATATCGATACCGATGTTAAAGCTGGACAAAAATAAGTAGTCATTAAAAATAGCAGTTTTGTTATCCATTTCTGACACTTTGAATAATAATATTCTCAAATATATTTTCATATGCTGATATCAAATAGATTTTTAAAAACGCGGTATCGATCTATTTTACTTTCAAAATCTCGTGAAATTTCATCGTTCTGTTACAAACTCTCGTGAGATTTTGCAAATTCTTGTGAGATTTTGTTAGTAAAATAGATCGATACTGCGTCAATATATCAACATATAAAAACATGGCAAAAGTTCGTGAATTTTCGGGGGATTTCATAGCATAACGATGACATATAGCAATATTTCATTAGTAAAAGAGATTGATATGGTGTTTTTAAATGGCAATATATCAGCATATGAAGATATGGTGATATTTTAATGTATCAATATTTTTTCCCTCGTCTTTAGAAGTTTTTAAGTCTGTAAAAAATGAAGCTTTTGAGGAAGAAGAAGAAGTAGTATTTTTTTTTTAATTTAGACTTTAGAAACTCAGAAGCTGATCAAATATCGGGTTAAATATCGGTGGGGTGGCCGATATCCGATATTCAGTTTTAAGGCCGATACAGGCCGATACCGATAGGGGGCCGATTATATCGTGCATCCCTAAATGAAATGACTGATTTGTGTATTGTACATGTTTTATTCATGCAAAGCAACTTGAGTTATATTAACATGTTCTTACCCATAAATCAAAAAGGCACATTATTTATCTGCAAGTTAAGTCTTGTTAAGACGCTTGGACACATCCTTAATCATCTCTGTCTTTTTACTCCTTTTTGTCCCTCTAAACAGCAAACTCTGGAGAACAACCTGACCAACTTGGTGAAGAGGAACAGTGAGCTGGAGAATCAAATGGCCAAGCTCATTCAGATCTGTCAACAGGTTGAGGTACGCCACATGTGTTCATAATCTTATGCTGCTGACATCAGTAAGATAACACTGTCCATCCTTTTCTGTGCTCTAAGAAAAAAAAAACTTCAATAATTGCAGCCTTTAAGCTGAGATTTAATTGTACAAATTTAAGCTGTAAAGCTAAAACCATCGGCCGGCTGAACAAATCCTCTCTTTTACCATATTATTCCAGCTTACACTAGATTTTAGTTAAAGCTCCTCTAAATATTTCCCTCAGTGCTGCTTGGTAGTGATCACACTCTGATTGCATTAAAAAGAGTTCAGACTTTTTTAGCCTTTTTAATGCTTATTAATATTTAAACTTAAATTAAGTTATTTTTAGTTTTTTTAATTATAAAAACAATTTTATTTGAGCCAAAAAAAAAAAAACTTTCAAAAAATCTAAATCCATTAAAAAGTAAATATCTTTGTTTTGATTTTCGTTTTTAACAACAAAAGCATTGGCATTTATCCCCTTCCTCAAGCAGGTGTAATTTTTAACATGTACCAACCAAAACGTTATACTGGAAACAGGCCCATTCTACAGCAACCTGTACTTATATTTAATTAAAAACAAAAAACAGGGGGAGAGCATGGTACCTTCAATTGACAGTATCTAGATGGTTTCTTGTGGTCTTTCCCACATAAGCTCTGAGTCTCATTGTACTGGACCAAGATGATGACCTTTGACATTAAAATATGAAGCAGAGCTATGAATTTTAGTTATTTATGGAAAGAAGTTGGTGTCTGAAATGTTGCCAGATTTGTATTTGTGAGCTTCCTTATCAGTTCTGAAAACTCACTCAGTTGGAACAATGGATGGAAAAGACAAGTCACTTTGCATGTAATGTTTTACTAAAAAACATTATTGCCTCCAAAAGCCCATGAATTCCCACTTTAACTCCAGCTTTCAGTTAATCTGTCTATAGATGGACTGATTTTTAAATGAAGCAGCATTTTTACTCTCAGCAGTTTAATTTGCCCTGGGACCACCCACGCAAGTAAATTATGCTCCCCTGTGAAGTCAAATAAGATTATGTGTCCAACCGCATAAATCTCTGCAACTTGTCACAAACTGCTTCAGTGATGTATCACATCCTACCCTGATTCAGATTTCTGTCAACCTCTGAGGACTTCTTTTTTTTTGCAGCCTGTTGTCCTGATTTGATCCTGGATCTATTGGCAGCTTTTTGTCATTTAAGCTCAAGCTGTGCTCTAACAGAGCTACATGCAGAGTATGTTAATATGCCCCCATAAAGTGTTCTCTCCCTATACTGTAGTTAAGAGTCTCACACACACAAACACTTAAGCGCATATTTTCTACACACTCACTTTTTATAAATGTCGTAATTTCTCTTGGAGATTTGACGTTAATGGCTGCTGCGGATAAATGCATTTTAACTGTGCCATCTTTCTCCACGTAGTCCGTTTCTTATTAGCGGGGCATGACTCCATTTTCACTGAGGCACTTCGAGGTCTCCAAGCAGCACAATCAAAAATTAAATGATTGCTGTGTGATTTATTTAGTACACGCAAAATGTTCATCAACATCACTTCGACAAGTTACAAAGATCCGTTCGTTATTATACAGGTTAGCGTTCAAGTATCCTGTTAAGACTCAAGTTAATAATTCAGCAATTCCATATCGTGGTTAAAAAGGTTAATCTTAAGGAGATTATTTAAATAACTCCCCTTTAAGCTGTTATTTGATGTGATCTTAGCACTAAGAGGTCTAGATATGAATTATTTACAGGGCAATGAAGTCAAAATGCATTTGGGTGAAACCACATTAAAGCGCAGGGGTTGGTAAACTCTAATGGGAAGAGAGGATAAGACAGAAAGCTAATGAGAAGATATGGATATTTAAAGACAGGAGAAACCCGGTAAAGGGGTAAAACAGAAACAAAAAGCCAGGGTCGGCGGGGCACACACCAAAAAGGGCTAAAAAAGGACATATTTTTAATGTTAGTGTGACTGCCAATGATTTTTTTTTTTCTTTTTTGGCCAGAAAGGACTCAGGGACTGTGAAGAGGAAAACGCTCAGTAATAATGAAACACAACACAAAAAAGGAATAAGGAAGTGGGAGTTTTAGCGGAGCGAGACGAGTGTGTTCAAAATAAGAAATCTCTGAAGGGCTTTGAGCATGACCTGGTTTTCTCCGTTTTCTGTTTGCAAGCGTACTGTATTGGAGCCAAAGACAAGATCAAACATAGTGTGAATTCTCTTCCAGTGTGTCAGCACACACGGCAGTGAGGGCTTCTCATTGGGGAATTAGCTTTTCCTCAGTCTTAGAAAGGATGTGCTGACTTGACTGTGAGTAGGCTGCTTGTTTCCTGGGGGAACTCTACCTTTAAGGCAATATTTGATGTTTTTTCTTCTGCCTTACTGACAGCCTGAATTGGGTTCATTTTTTCCTGTAAATGCATTTGGATTTTTTTTCTTTAGAATTATGCAGTTCAGTGGGATTTATCCAGTTTTTTTATAACTGTCTAGAAGATAAATATATTTATACCATTAACCTTTTTTAAATTAGGTTAATTCATATTATCAGTGGAGAGAGATCTGGAAGTGGGAAAAAGAAGAGATCATTGGTTTTATTTTAACATATATTTCTAGGTCTTGCCACAGATTCTCAACTCTGGATTTGATTTAACTAATCCAACACTGCAAAAAATATCTAGAATTAAGTAAATATTTCTAAATTAAGTGTATTTACCCTCAATTGGAGTAGGTAAATAAGATGATTTGCCAAAAGAATGTGCAGTTTTACTGTTAAACTAAGATTATTAGATATTATGCACTTGAAATAAGACAATGCAGATGTTTTTGTCTTATTTTAAATGTTAATTTTATTTTTCAGTGTTTGGCAAAGTATCTCACTTCTTCAATTCAAGAAAAAAATGCTTTCATTAAATAAAAAAAAGATTATTTAGATTTACATTTTTTTGCAATTCATATAGTTTGAAACAAGTGTTACGCCCACCAAGGACACAACATATTTGAGGACACGAGACAAAAATGAGGGTTCAAAAAAAGATATTTTATTAATAAATTCTCTCCGTTTTAGTTGTTCTTGGTTCGGCTTCTTCAGATGTTCTGGGAAGAGAAAAATAGTTAACGGCCCTCAAATCCCGTGCCCCAAAAAAATAAAAAAAGAAACCCAAAGTAACAACAGAAAGTTGGACCTGGCAGGCCGATCAAACAGAATAAAACGGTACAGCAGGGGGCCAACCCTATACAGGGCCGTCGAAGCCCCTACTGGTACCGTACTAAAGGCAAAAAATAACCTAAGCGAAAGAAAAATCGAAAACAGGACTACCGGTCCCGCCAGGCCAAAAACCTCAAGAAAAAAGTAAGAAAAAGTTAACAAAAATACCACATGGCAGGCTGGAACGTCCGCTGCAGGCCGCAGCGACAAGACAAGTGCGCACCGCGCACGATGGAGCAAATGAAGCAGGTGGGAAGTGGCGTCCAAACGAGGTTGGAAAGGAACGCGCAAGGAACGCGCTAACGTGCTGAAGGCCAGCCTATTTATAGGCGGACGACAGCACCACAAATTAACATAATTGATTTACTAAAAAAAATCCTAAAATATATTAACAAAAGGATCCTTCAACTAAAGTTTATAAGCAAACGAAGAAAAGAAATGGACAAAAATCATAATGTGCCTGGGGCACATAACACCCCCACCCAAAGACTCTGAATGGGGTCCGAAGCAAAGCTCAACCCATTCAGAGAAAAAAAAAAAGGAAAGCGGGACTACAGTCGTGAGTGTGCGTCGGCCACTACATTGTCTTATCTTCACATAATAAAAACACCTTTAAACTAAAGCGGGACTAGAGTCAGGAGAGTGCGTCAGCCACTACGTTGTCCCCTCTTCCTACAATAAAAACGCGTCACATAGCTTTCACATCCAAGACATGATCTAATGCGCTCTCAATGCCACCGAGCGCGCAAACACAGCCGATCCACCAACTCCAGTCTGCGTTCTTCCAAAAACAGCTCCTTTTCCATCAAAGCCAGCTGTCCTAATTCGATCTGAAGTTCCTCTAAACGACACGGATCAGCTGCAAGTGAGGTTTTATTCGGCGATTCATCAAGACTCTGTGCTAAAACTGCAGCAGGAAAAATATCCTTCGTGCACTCACTAAAGACATCTAATGTGGCTCCTCGAGCACTCATCCAGGTCAGACTCCATGTCCACCCCTGGAATCTAGCCACACTAAACAGGAACACTCCATCCAATGTAGGCTCTCGAGCAAACTCATCCAGGTCAGACTCCATGTCCACCCCTGGAATCTAGCCACACAAACTGTCAAGCACACATACAAAGCCACAAAAAACACCAGAGCCAAATCGTCCAATCCACAATAACCTCAAAATGCTCGGCTTCCCGTGCATCTGCAGCTGCCCCGACACCTGCGTCATCTCGTTCACTGGAAACACAACTGATAGAGTTATGCAGAGCGGGCGCACGTTCAGCAACAGATCCTTTGTGCATTTCTGCAAAGTGTCCAATGTGGGCCCTCGAACAAACTCATCCAGGTCAAACTCCATGTTTACCCCTGGAATCAAGCCACACCAAATCAGGGACACCTCTGCACTAACAAAGCTACAGCACCACCAGAACCGAATGCTCTAATTAATCAGCGCAACGCGCGTCAGCTGCGCAAAAACACACACAAACCCAGCACAACCGCCAACAAACAAGAACCAACCGTAGGACCCGACCTGTCTCTAAAAGGCACACTTTGTTTAAACAAGCCCCCAAAAATATGTTACGTCCACCAAGGACACAACATAATAGGGGACACGAAAGGCAATGTTTAAACAAAGTAAATTCGTTAAGACAAGCCCCCAAAAATATGTTATGCCCACCAAGGACACAACATATCGGAGGGCACTAAAGGCAAACTTTGTTTTGACAAGCCCCCAAAAATATGTTACGCCCACCAAGGACACAACATAATCGGGGACACGAAAGGCAAACGCTGTT